CTCGGTGCCGGTGTGCAGCGGAGACATGGACGTCCAGCAGCCGGTGAGTCCCTGCAGACCCCGCTGATCTCAGCTCTCTCTCCTCTGCCTCTCTCTCTCTTTCTCTCTCTCTCTGCTTGTTCCCGGTGTTCCTGCGCTTTAACCGGCCGCTCCGGACACATCGAACCAAACACAAAACCGAGCTTTCAACCACTTAACCTCCTCTCTTTAAACCCACAGACTACCCCCTTACTTCCAAAGACTTCTCCTTGTCAGTCCTCCAGTTCGTCCACTAACCCACTTGGCAAACTTTTACGCACCGAAACGAAAAAAAAAGCGCATAAAAAACAGAATCCATCCAGCATCTGTCCGAATTAAGTTTAATCTGTGAATCCGCTTTAAAGAGGGGATACAAGTGGGAAGACAAGGCGAGGAAAAGTGTCAGGAGTGTAAAGAAGTCAGTCTCCCGGTGAAAGATGGGATTCGGTGGTTTGGAGATGAGCTCCGGGCGGCGGAGAGTCGGCTCGACTCGATCTGCTGCTGAAGCAGAGGGAGGGAGGAGGGGGAGGGAGGGAGGAGGGGGAGGTCCATAAACCATCAGAGAGAGAGAGGCACACACAAAGAGAGAGAGAGAGAGAGAGAGGCACACACAAAGAGAGAGAGAGAGAGAGAGAGAGAGACTTCTGACATCAGTCCAGCTGTTTACAGGAGAACAAAGACTTTCTATGAAACCCTTTCACTCTGTTTGTTGTTTTTTTTTGTAATCCTGCAGATCAAGTTGATCTCACTGACTTTATCTCCCTTTGAAACTTTTAGGCTATCAGAGTTGATGGTGTTGATGGCTTAAGTTCAGAAGCACAGGAGTTACTAATTAACTTTATTTAGACTCCAATGAATTAAAGGTCCCCATAAACCATGTGAGCAAACCTCAGAGGGAGTTTAAGAAGCGGATGTGCAGAAGAAGTGTTTCAGTCATCCAGGTCCTGGTAGATTTAAAGGTTGAGCGAAAGGCAACTGGGCCGGAGATGTTTCACCTCTCCTACGAAAGGCTTCTTCATTTCTACCACCAGAAAGTTTAGAATTGAAGGAGAAGTGTAACGTCCTCAAGATTTTCACAGTCCAGTTGCCCTTGGGTCAAGTTTACGAAGTGCTTTCAGATTTTCTAAAGTACAATAGAAGGCAACTCTGATTCTGTAGAAGTCAATGACAATAATTGTTCTAAACATTTTCCCAATATGTTTAAAGTCTTAATCTCTAGTTTCAAGTCTTCTTTCTTCAACACAGCATGATGTTCATTTAGTAAATGATGGGTCCCTTTTAGAGTCACACAGACCAAACATGAAGGGTGGATTCAGGGCGGGGCTGAAAGGACATCAAGTTCAGAGTAAAATACTCACTAACTTTAATTAGTATAAGTGGATGTCTAACCTCTAGCTGGTGTGAACATTCAAACACAAAGATCCAAAAGCCATTTAACCGTTTATTTTGTGCAAGGTCGAGGCGATGGATGGACGGATGATTTTATTATTTATGCTTCCATTCGGGTCAAACAAGGAAATAGGGCTTCTTGAAATTCAGTTATAACTTTTTTTTAAAGGTAAATACAAACATTTGTCGGCTTCAGTGTCCCGCTACATCCTGTATATGGAACATGTAGTGTTAGTTTCTGGAGTGCGGTGGCAAATAACCTGCAAGCTCCTCCCCACTCTGATTGACTCCACCTACTGCAGTCTCAGAGAAGCTTTAGGACTGACACAGACTGTCTCAGCAGCTCTCAGACTGACTGACGCGTTACCTGACCTCTAAGTAACACCTGCTGCTGGATGACTCAAACTCTCACACACAGACAAACTAATGAGCAACAACAGACAGTAAACAGAGGCAGTCGTCATAGCAACCGCAGGAGGAAATTTGAAGGTAGCAGCTCAACTTTCCCTTTGTAATCACCAAATTAATTAAGAACCTGCTGGAGGTTCGTTTTAGCAGACAGGCATCAAACACACAGAACAAAGTGTTTGATTAAAATATTTGATATCAGTAGATGATAAACTGTAATTCCCGCCTCCAGAAATGTCTGCAAAATAAACTCGGTCATGTCTCCTTCCATCACATCCCGGAGCTCGTTCATCTGTTTCCTGTGAGTCTCATTGTAATAATACGTTACACAGAGGCTTCACTCGGGCATACCTCACAGTATGACGCTGAAAAGGAACAGATTGTCTTGTGATTCAACTCTTAAAATGTTGTTGAAATGAAGTCTTTTCTGATGCATTCAGGAAAATGGGAAATATAAACGCTTTTTGGCTTTCACTACACTCAAGTGGAAGTGTTTGACGTAGCACGAGTTGCTAACTTGTTAGCTTCTCTTGCATGCAGCTTTCAGAGATAAATGAAGCGTCATCAGATTACTGCTGATGTCATTACATTGGATGGTGTTCAACCTGTTGTAGCTCTCCATAGAGATTGTTTATCCTCGTCAATCCTGCTCGGACTACAAATGTACTAAAAAACAGAAACCAGAACAAAAAAAAAAAAATTGACCCATGAGCACATATCCTATATCATCATGTACAAATCAGTGTGGACAGACAATCTTTTTAGGAGTGGATACTCAACACACACACACACACACACACACACACACACACACACACACACACACACACAAAGACACATTCTTGGCCACATCTGTTCCTTCTGAGCGAGCCAGTTTACCAGTCTGCACCAGTCAGAGCTTTATACTGGACAAACAGAGGTAAACACACACACACACACACGCACACACGCGCGCACACACACACACACACACACACACACACACACACACACACACACACACACACACACACTCACACTCACACACAATGCTGGAATGCATACACAAACAGAAGCAGATGTAAGCAAGTGTGAACACTAAAAAATATAGACGCTCACACACACACACACACACACACACACACACACACTGAGGGTAAACTGTGGTGAGGTGGCACCTTCCCTGACAGCGTTATTTCAAACTCAGACATTCCTCGACACACTTTTCATGTGTGTGTGTGTGTGTGTGTGTGTGTGTGTGTGTGTGTGTCCCATATATTACTCTTTTTCGGGGAGAAAAAAACATTTTAAACACCGTCATTTTTTGCGGACAAAACTGAAATGCTCATGGCATAAATCATTAAATGTGAGGGTTTAGACTCGGTTTAAGTTTAGGGTATAGTTAAGTTAAAGTGTTAGGGTTCGGAGAGTAGTGCTTATGGTTAATGGTTCGGGTTATGGTTAGTCTCCAGGAAATGAAATATAAATCATTACATTGCTGGAAAGTGTCAGAGTGTAAGGGCGACCTTCTAAAACGTTCTCTCAACATAAAGGCAGCTAAACTCTGGAATTCATGAAAAGGTTGCTTTGCTCTGTCTGAACACATTTTAATATATATATATATTTGTAGGACAGCTGATGAGAGACAGGAAACATTAGGAGGAGAGAAGGGGGGGGTGGGGTGACATGCAGCAAAGGGCCGAGGTCCGAACAGGACCTAAGGACCCTGTACCGAGCACCACAGCCTCCACACATGGGGCGACCGCCCGCCACCCCTCTCCTCCTGCAGGACGGCTTTACAAATCTCTGTGTTCACAATGAAACAGGACATTGTGGCACCGATACTCTAGCAGTCAAGTTGCCCTCCACGTAAAGAGGCTATTAGTCATCTAAGTGTGCAGCCCGGGTTTGATTCCGAGCTGCTGGCTGATGGGACCGCCGTTTTCTGACAGGAATTTCCAAGATATCAATTCTGGAAGAAATCTCTGAATCAGTTGAGGAAATGGCCGTGTGTGTTGAAGTAAATATGTCTGTAAACCTGACCTTAGTGGGAGTGGCCTGCGGTGCTGTGCTTTCTGGGATTTGGTGTCTTTCATCAACATGAGCCAAAAAGACACTTTCTGCCTTTTCTCGGCCAAGAAGGCACCAACTTCAAAAAGTATTTCACATTTCTACATATATGACCCAATGTCAACACAGACTCATGTTTCAACCGGTGAAGTATCCCTTTAAGAAGCAGAGACAGTTACATCACATGTGAAGTTATGTGTGTCACCAATGAATGAGAATTTTAGACTTTCAAAATAAAACTTTTCAGCTTTGAGGACGATGTGCAACGACAGATCCATGCTGTGAGGAGTTTCAGGCGTCTTTCAGATCCTGTTTGGGTTCAGAACGATCCGTCGTCTCTGGGTTTTTCACGTCTCGGCTGCTTCCTGCGTGCTGGATCAGCTGACAGTCTTGCATGAAGTCACCGCGGCCTCGTATTGATATTCCATCTCTAATAACCAACGACCACATTTCCACTGCTAATGACACAGCGGAGGCCATCTTGGCTCTGCACGCCGTCTCATTAGAGGCTATCTGAGAACCTGACGGCAGCAAGGCGGCACGGCATGCCCAGAACCTCCAGACCTATGTGTGTGTGTGTGTGTGTGTGTGTGTGTGTGTGTGTGTGTGTGTGTGTGTGTGTGTGTGTGTGTGTGTGTGTGTGTGTTTAAGTGTGCGTGTGTGTGTGTGTGTGTGTGTGTGTGTGTATGTGCGTTCGTGTGTGTTTGAGTAAGAGACGGGCAAACACACCAGGGGAAGCCAGAGGTCATCAGCTAGAGGAAAATATGTGTGTTAGTGTTTTAGGGTGGTAAATATGTGGGAGACAGTGTGTGTGTGTGTGTGTGTGTGTGTGTGTGGTGTGTGTCTGTGTGTGTGTGTGTCTGTGTGTGTGTGTGTGTGTGTGTCTGTGTGTGTGTGTGTGTGTGTGTGTGTGTGTGTGTGTCTGTGTGTGTGTGTGTCTGTGTGTGTGTGTGTGTGTGTGTGTGTGTGTGTCTGTGTGTGTGTCTGTGTGTGTGTGTGTGTGTGTGTGTGTGTGTGTGTCTGTGTGTGTATGTGTGCGTGTGCGTGTGTCTGTGTGTGTGTGTGTCTGTGTGTGTGTGTGTGTGTGTGTGTGTGTGTGTGTGTGTGTGTGTGTTATTTAAAGCAGGAAGAAGACTTGGTGTTAAAGGCTGCAGGTGTCTTGTAAAATCTGGACAGACGTGTTGAGCGTTACTGTAAACACATCGATTTTTACATTTTCCTTCTCCTCAGTCTGAAAAGTCCGGCACTGTACGGGGGGCGGGGGCGGGGGACGGGGGGGGCGGGGGGGGTGAACTCTTTTAGAAGTCATCCATTGTGATGATATAAAGGCTAAGTGTTTCTCATGATAAGGGGGCGGGGCTGATCCGACTGACTGGCAGGTGTGTTGTAGCTGTTCTCCAGGAGGCTTAAAGGCAGCTTAAAGTTGACCCACAGTTAGTTTGCAATAATGGGCCAATGGATGACGTCACAGAGAGTATGCCCATGTTTTATACAGACTATGCACCAAAAACACCAAGATAAATTCCTTGACTGTGTAAAGCTATAATTGACCCTTAGTTCTGATCCTTTATTCTGATTTTTTTTTACCCTAAGGGTTTTTTTTTTTGGGATAAGAAAACAGGAAAAGTTTTTCTCCCT